AAGCTGGTGCCTGCAGAGGCACGTGAGCAGGCTTTGGCTGTGCAAAGGCAAGAGAAGTGTTGAATAACTTAACCTTTTTTAATCCTTTATCTCTGGATTGTCTCCCTTGTCCATCAACAGAAATTCTCTGAAATGCCTCTTGAAACTGGTGTACCTGTAGGATCCTTTACTGCTACCCTCAAAGTCCTTTGCTAGGCTTTTCCTAGCTTGGCTTTTATTTCTAAGTACCTGATAATGTTTTATGATTCTCTTTTGTTACTTCTCCTTGTTTCTGTCTCTCCTACACTCATTTTTAGTTTGTCAAGAAGCTTAATCCAACACATCTTCTACTGAAATGTCCTGTCGTCTTCCACAATAGGCTGGTTTATTTTACCAGCTTGTAAGTTACTACTTTATTTCTTGTGGAATTTATCTGCTCTGGTTTCTCTTTGTGTCACTGGGATAGTTTTGTCTTTCTACAGCTAGTCTTTGTTTTTTTTTTTTTTCCAAAGATACTTATAGGGGCTTCTAAAACATTTGCCTAAAAGATTTCCAATTAATGCTGTAAAGACAGAATATGGGTGTACACAGTAGGGAACTGAAGTATACACGATAAAACTAAAAGCAAGAGACATTTACACTGGTATTAGAGCGGTGGGGCACTACAGCTTTTTCAGGTGCACTTGGTGATTACCTTAAATACTTCAAGAATTGTAGAGTCTGAGCAGAACCTTGACAGGATGAAGAAACCATCAGTAGTGTCATTGGCATCAGAACAGACCTGTGTTTCCTCAAGACTCTTCGCATTTCCAGAAAGGAATCGATGCACGCTATTTTATTCATACTAAAGGAGGGGTTATTTAAGTTTAGACTTCATGAAAGCCTGAATTGGTTTTAGATGATATAATTTATTCTTGAAATAGCTGTTTCCTGAGAGCCCAGTTCTTTGTTTTAATACGAAAGGTCACTTTTCCTTGTGGCAGCACCTTCAGCTTTATGGAACGAATCGAGCTTCTGATTTCAGTGATAATATGCCTTACACTGCTTTGGTTAGTCTTTTTTTTTTTTTTTCAATGAGAATCTCCAATATTTCCTTCCCTTCCCCTAAGAAACTCAATTACAGGTTAAGTAATCTGCTTATTCTCAGCACTGCTCATCTCCTACCGCAGCAAGATTAGTAAGCATGAAAGTGACTCCCCTAATGTAGCTATGGAAAGACTGTATCTGCAATTTTTAGGTTGGTTTTTTTTTTTTAGCTTGTCTGTATAGACAGGATTTAAAGTATAGTATCCTTCAGGTCTAAGTCAATGGCTTTGGCTAATTATCAGGAACAGGCGCAGTCCTGCTCTTTTTAACCTTCTGGCGGAGATTCCATATTTCACAAGGAAACAAGGTACTTTAAAGGAATGACAGTCACTCTGCTGGTCCTTGTTTCACTAAAACAAGAAAGCAGAGCAGAAACTGATATTTTTGTCTCACTGGACAGCAAGAGGGAAAAGTGGAAAAGGGGGTTTAGAAAGAACCTCAGGGAATCTTCTCTGCATGGTTATGGAGGTGGCTCTATCAGACGTGAGGGCGTCTTGAAGGCGGGTACCAGCGTCCACCTCTTCATCCCTTCCACTTCATTCCTTAAGCTTTGATCTTGAAGGCGGGTACCAGCGTCATCCCTTCCACTTCATTCCTTAAGCTTTGCCTCTTGTAACTTCTAAAACTTCCAAAAGTTTGGAAGAGAATCTGTGGAGGTGGACTTCAGGACTAGGAAGATGTATCACCGTAAGGTGGCATTTCTTTCTTAAAAGTGTAAAGGCAGAGTACAAAGTATTTAAACACTACGTTTTAAAAACCGTGCACAAGAGAAACCTACTTAAATCACTCTTTAAAAAAAAAAAAAAAGAGGTCTAAGGAGTAGTGAACATGCAAAGACTTAATTTCCTTTTTTAACTACCCTTCTTGTAACAAATCTAGTTTCTTTTCCTTCTAAATGAAAAAGGGTTTTATTTGTTTAGATCGAGCCTCGCTTCTGTGAAAACACATCCTAAGGGTTGAGTTTCTGTTCAGGTGTCATTGCTCTGATAGGGCAAAGTTTCATTCAAAATCTAAGATTTTTCACTTTGAAAACAGGAACTATAAAGACTAATTCGGGTATGTTTACAAAAACCTGCAAGTTGGAATTTTAATGTGTGGCACGATGTGTGTTTCCCTCCTTTTCTCTCCAGGCTTTTGTGGATTACTTCTCCCGAGGCCTCCATGCAGAATACAAGAGCAAGGGCATCATCGTGCAGGTGAGTAGAGTTTGTTGGGTGTTAAGTGTGGTTACCACAGCAACACTTGGTGTCTTGGTAACAAAAAGGCAATCAGCACATTCTCTTATTCATGAATATGTGACGCAGATTAAGGATAAGGATTTCCTTTGATCCCACGAGCAGAGACTCTGAAACAAATGCATCTTTGAAGCAACAAAAAAACTGATGGTGGTAACTCAACCTTTGAGTATAAAATATTCCATAAAACTGTGTGCGACTCTGTAGGATGCATCTTTACACAACTTAATCTCCTGGAATGGCCTTTTGGAGTGCCTTTGTGCAGGGATTCAGTGGGTAACTGCTCAAAAGACTAGAAGTGTAGCAGTGCCTTCCCTGCAGTGTCAGCGAATCAACTGCTGGTGTAAGCACGGTGACAAGGACAAACAAAAGCCTCAAAGACCCTCTGTATGTCATGGACTGACTGAATTTTCTTTAGTACTGGCTTTCCACATCATTAATGAGTCTTGTTATTTAGAATCATGGAACGGTTTGGTTGGAAAGGACCTTAAAGACCATCCAGTTCCAACCCCCCTGCCCTGGGCAGGGACACCTCCCACCAGACCAGGTTGCTCCAAGCCCCATCCAGCCTGGCCTTGAACCCCTCCAGGGATGGGGCAGCCACAGCTTCTCTGGGCAACCTGGGCCAGGCTCTCACCACCCTCACACCAAAGAATTTCTTTTCCATGTCCTTCCTGTGCTGAGGACTCCAGAGCCGGACACAGAGCTCCAGGTGGGGTCTCCCCAGAGCGGAGCAGAGGGGACAGAATCCCCCCCTGGCCCTGCTGGCCACGCTGCTGGGGATGCAGCCCAGGATGGGGTTGTGTTTCTGGGCTGTGAGCCCACGTTGCCGGCTCACGTTGAGCTTCTCACCCACCAACACCCCCAAGTCCTTCTCCTCAGGGCTGCTCTCCAGCCATTCTCCGCCCAACCTGTATTTGTGCCTGGGATTGCCATGTCCCAGGTGCAGGACCTTGCACTTGGCCTGGTTGAACTTCATGAGGTTTGCACGGGCCCATCTCTCAAGCCTGGCCAGGTCCCTCTGGATGGCATCCCTTCCCTCCAGTGTGTGATCCGTGCCACACAGCTTGGTGTCGTTGGCAAACTTGCTGAGGGTGCACTTTATCCCACTGTCCAAGTCTCCACCAAAGATGTTAGATGATTTCCCCCCATTTGTTTACTTCCCTGTTTTTAATTATTTTTGATGGGGCGTAAAAGCAAACCAAGCGCCAGTTTCTCATAACTTCATGTGATTTTGCTTTAACATCACTTCTCATGTACTCTTAGTGTTTGCTTCCAGAATGGGGCTAGCATTTCCAGCTTTGGTTGCAAACAGTGAGTTTTTCATTCCTTATTACAGCTGTTGCTCTCCAGAGCAGCCAGTTTGATAAAGTTGGGATCAGATCTGACCTGTGCTGTGAGGACGGTGGTGTATCTTTTGCAAATTCAGTTAGGGATCTTCTCACAAGCAGGATTGGTCCACATCCATGCCTGTCACACTCTCCTGTGATAGGATTTGTCCTGTGTCTCCTATGGTGGTTCTCAAAACCATAGGACCACCTGTGTCTCCTATGGTGGTTCTCAAAACCATAGGACCACCTGTGTCTCCTATGGTGGTTCTCAAAACCATAGGACCACCTGTGTCTCCTATGGTGGTTCTCAAAATCATGGGACTACCTCTGTCTCCTATGGTGGTTCTCAAAACCATAGGACAACCTGTGTCTCCTATGGTGGTTCTCAAAATCATGGGACTACCTGTGTCTCCTATGGTGGTTCTCAAAATCATGGGACTACCTGTGTCTCCTATGGTGGTTCTCAAAACCGTAGGACCACCTGTGTCTCCTATGGTGGTTCTCAAAACCGTAGGACCACCTGTGTCTCCTATGGTGGTTCTCAAAACCGTAGGACCACCTGTGTCTCCTATGGTGGTTCTCAAACCATAGGACCACCTATGTCTCTTATGGTGGTTCTCAAAACCTCTGAACACCGAAAGCCCTACGAGGAGTAAGGCACAGAGTTGTCTGCCTCGTTTGTGTAAAGTGTGACAACACAACTTTTGTTACTGGCTACAGCCATGGAGAAGTTGTTACCAACTGAACACTGAAAGCCCTACGAGGAGTAAGGCACAGAGTTGTCTGCCTCGTTTGTGTAAAGTGTGACAACACAACTTTTGTTACTGGCTACAGCCATGGAGAAGTTGTTACCAACTTTGGGCTACGTTACCTTATTAATGGGCTAGATTTTTTCTTTTTTCCCCTTTAAAAAAAGGGGGAACACATCACCAGGACATGTTCTGCAGTTTAGTATCGGGTGTTTAGTCCCAGATGTTTAGTGTAATGTCCCCTCCCAGTTCTCCCTCCCCATTGAAATTGAAAAGGTAAATAACCTAATCACTCATGCTTGGCTGAAGTCATTAAACAAAGTACGAATATAGATAGTATGGGAAAGATTTTCTAGCTTTTGGATATGGAAAAGCTGGAAAAAAAAGTTTCCAGTGTCTAATATTTTAACACTATAAACAAAACTATAAACAAATGAAGAATTAAATCTGGCTTTCTATATCCATCATTACGCTTTCTTGCACAAGACATAGCAGGTCGTGGTAAGTTGGCTTTTTGTAACTCCCAGGCTGGCAAAGGGTGCTGAATTCCTGACGGTGTGGCTTTTTTGCCCCTAAATGTAGACAGTGAGTTATGTGGGCCTGATGACCAATAGCTGTCACGGCTTCAATTCGTTATGCTAATTTTATTACAGTCCATGTCCTTGTCGTCTTGTTCCAGCCTAAGTCACTATAAACCACTAATGAATATTACAAGTCCCTTCCTGTGAAGACTAGCTGACGTCTCTTCTTCAAGCCCTTTGGAAGACTGCATCTCCTTCAGATTCTTTGAAGTTCATCTCTCTGACCTTCAGAGATGTAGTGCTTTTTAACCCAGACCTCCACTTCCAGCAGAGATCACCAGTTAAACCAGTTACCTTTTACCATGCTGATATCTCGCTGCGGCAAGAGCAAAAACGTGGTGCAGGTGGTATTTTATTTTCCCCAGTTTCTGAAGTTCAACTTAAGGTAGATCAGTTTTGCTGATTGCCTTCTCTCCGCAAGCTTAGGTTTCATAGTATATAGTGCTTTTATTATACCTTCTGGGAGGTCTGGTTTAGTGATGATGCTCCTTGTTTGTTGTGTGGGTGTCTATTTTTGTCAGTTAGGTTGACGGTTGGACAAGATGATCTTTAAGGTCCCTTCCAACCTAGAAGATTCTGTGATTCTGTGATTCTATTGCACCGTAGACATCTTTAGATTAAAAATGTACTCTTTCTGGCTGATGAGGCCTGCTTAATTTTACAGAAGCAGCACAGTAATAGCAGAGGGTTAAAATTCAGTATGTGCTCACACAGAGAGAAGGAGATAGGGAAAAAGGAAAGATATGAGGAAGAAGACAACGAGGACTTCTCTCAAGGCTCTTTTGGAAAAAAACTCTCCCCGAAAGATTTCTGCAAAGTCTTTTTGAAATTTTTACTTGTTGAATTATGTCTAAAAATATTACTTGGCTCTTCACTCCTTTCTTTTTCTCCCTTTTTTTAACTTAAGTCAGTATTGGCGTTTTCCGCCCCCTACACTTCATTGCCATCCCTAGTAAAAGCGGAACAGCGAAAACTTCCACTACCTGTTTTCTTCTACCATATCCACTATATAAAATATCAGATCATGGAATCGTGGAAGGGTGTGTTTGAAGGGCTCTCTAGGAAGTTTTTGTTGTCTAACTGCTCCTGCATTAGCAGTGGGATTGCTGCTAACACAAGGTCATGGGCTAGTCCTGGCTTTATCCAGGTAAATCTTGGAAGACCTTCAAGGGCAGGGATGCTGTGATCTCTCTGGACAACCTGGTAGTGTTGTTGCACTGCTCTCCTACCAAACTTTTTTTTTTCCTTTAGTGTCCCATCTGAAAGTTCACAGCCAAAATGGACAGTTTTGCCTCTTCGTTATTTTATTTGGCGCTACCAGGAAGAGTTGGGCTCTCATCTTCACAACTGAAAATAACTTGAAATAACTATAGGCAGGCATTGGGTGACCACCAACCTCCTTGTCACCTCCCTGAACGGGCCTGTCTCTCTCCCTGGGTGTTCACAAAAGTGTTCTGTCACCAGATTAATGGCATTACCTTCCTCCAACACTTTTTAGCTTTGCTCTTGAGCTTTTTGTGCAGGTCAGCTTTGGTTGCTGCAATTCTTCCATTTCCCCTTTTGTGCCCCCCACCCTCCCATTCCCCACAGAGAAAGGTAAAGAGGCTTCTTTGAAAACTCCCAAGAGTTCGGGTCTTTTTTTTAAATGCAAGGTAAAACTGGTGATAAAAATGTGTAAGCAATTACCTGCTTAACACCGTCTTCTCTACATGCAGAGTGTTCTACCCTATTACGTGGCAACAAAAATGTCCAAGATCCGCAAACCGACGTTCGATAAACCCAGTCCTGAAACCTACGTCCGAGCGGCCTTGGGCACGGTGGGACTGCAGTCCCAGACCAACGGGTGCCTGCCCCATGCCCTCATGGTAAGTCACCTGAGAAGACATAAGGACCTGGAACCATAGAATGATGATATGGAGTTGGAAGGGAGCTCTGGAGATCATCCAGTCCAACCCCCTGCCACAGCAGGGCCACCCAGAGCAGGTCCCACAGGAACGTGTCCAGGTGGGGTTTGAATGTCTCCAGAGAAGGAGACTCCACCACCTCCCTGGGCAGCCTCTGCCAGGGCTCTGCCACCCTCACAGCAAAGAAGTTCCTCCTCATGTTGAGGTGGAACTTCCTATATTCAAGTTTGTGCCCGTTCCCTCTTGTCCTGTCCCTGGGCACCACTGAAAAAAGCCTGGCCCCATCCTCCTGACACCCACCCTTGAAGGATTTATAGGTGTAACATCTTTTGTATGTGTTTATTAGGGAAGATGAGTAAAGAATAATTTGGAATATTAAATATTTTTTATTCTTTGACTCCTAATCACAACTTGCTAATATTTGTGCGTGCCGGTAACTGTTACTTTTTTCTTTTTAGGGATGGATCTTCTCACTTCTACCTACACCTACTGCCATTAATTTGCTCATGAAAACGAACAAACAAATACGGGCTCGTTATTTGAAAAAAATGAAGGAGAAGTAAGTTGGAGACAACTTGATGTGGGAAGCCTGGGAGTCCCACAGGTTCCCCGCCCACGCTGCAGCACCGCGCGGACCTAACCATCTTCAACATCTTCAATCCTAGGGTGTACTTTCTAACAAGCAAAAACCAGTCTTCGTTTTGAGGATACAGGTGAAACAAGACTGGTGACTTCTAATATCGATTTAAAAAAAAATAGGCTTTATTTGTTTATAGGTATTATGAGGTGGGGAGGGGGGGGAAAGCGCTTCGGACTAAAATTGCACTGTGCTTTAAGAAATACTTACATGGACTTGATCAGACATTGTGCTGTTGAGGAACAGCTTGGTTTATAGCGTCCATCACATCTACGTATTGTGTAGAAAAAAAAAAAACAGGGCAGAAAAATAGTAGTTCTCACACATTTCTGGACGGGTGGGGAGGAGTGGGAAGGGAGCGTATTTATTTCAAGAGGTTACCTAGCACTGTTGACAGAGCATAACTTTTTTTCCCAGTTCAGGTTTTGGGTATTTGGAAGGATTCTGCATCATCAGGCAGCTGATGGGCGCTCCCCTGCTTACGTGATTCAGTGGGATTTTTTTTGGAGGGGGTGGTGGTTATGAACTTTGAGGGAATTGGGCCAAAACCAAAACGGAGTGAGTGTAACCACTCATCTATAAATATATACATAAAATAACATCGCACAAATGATTTCAATTCCTGGTTCTGAAAGAATGGATTCTAACTTTTCAGTAATATGTAATCTTTACGATTTGTAATAACATTTTTCAAAGTTCAGTGCCTGCTCTTTGTCATAGGTGGTGATAACACACAATGTAGATAAATGTCACGAGTTACGCCGTTCCGTGCTGGTTGGTACGTTAAAGATTATGGGCACTTTAAATGCAGAGCTTGAAATGAGTTACGCTCCTCGTTAGCGTCGAGGGTTGAAATTCGTTTTGAAGTACGTATCAGTCTGTCTTTTTGGTGAGGCCCTTCGAAACGCGAACCCTGAATATTTGAAGACAGCTTTTAAAAATGAGAAGCAGTGAACTTCTTTAGAGGTAGAACGTTCTTAATTTAATTGGGTTTGACTGATTTGTTTTGTGTTTTTTTTCCAAAACGGTGTGCTGTAGTGAGGCTGAAGTTACCCAGCTCCAGGCGATCAGAGAAGCCTGCACTGCTGTTGTCTGTATTTACCTACACTTGCAATAAAGATTTTGGTCTCTAACATTTCTTTCTATAACATAAAATATACTGAAACTTCCAAGGTGAATCAAATTGCAAGCAGCTTGCCAGTACTTTCTGTGGCAACTTTCTGTGGTTGAAGAGTGGAGGTTGTTTTCTGTCCTTGAAAGAATTTCAAGCTCTGATTTTGAAGTAAAGTTATGTTGTACCGAGACGTGATTTGGGGCTAACATTTCTGTACATTGCAAAAAAAAAACCAAACAACCTGAATACCGATGCAATGGTGCTGATCAAATCTGAGTTTTCTTAATTTTTTGGAACAGGAAAGGTGAAGTCAGTGGTATTAGTTCTGTAAGAGAACATTGAATTGGTTGGCTCTGGGTCTGACGTGGAAGCATTGGACTAAACAATCTGTATGGTGGACTTTGTAAAACAAATAAAATGGAATTTACTCTGAATCTTTAATGTCTTGTTTGTTGTTTTTTTTTCCTTAAAATGTTTGCCTGTGCATTTAAATGCCTGATTGTCTTGTAGCGTATATAATAATGCAGTGAAAATGGCTGTACTTTTACACGCCAAACCCAAAGCTTTTATAAATCTGTTTTCCTGGCTGTTACCTATTTTACGGTGCTGCTCTTCTAAAAATCCCTGGGACACAAAATGAACTGTTAATTAGAACTATTAATTAAGCTATGGATAAGAAAGAGTTATTTCCAAATAACAATTTTCTATCTATTGAAGGTGTTTGGAAAAGGAATGGCACACCTACCTGTCTGGCACTGAAGCAGTGGTGCCCGGGCAAGGCTGGACCTGGCAGGGGAGCTGCTGGAGCCTGTGGTGATGTCCTCGCTGTCCTGTGTGTGGTGCTAGAAGGCTGCACTTGGGCTTCCTGCTTCCTCTGAGGTCTTTTTTATTTTCCGAACTGCAACAGGGAATCGCTTTCTACCTGAAATTGCCTTGACTTTGATTTTTTTGAAGGTCTGTTCACCGCAGCGATTGAGGTGATGAGCGTCTACAATAGCTTCCGATATGAAACGTCTGTGAAGCGTCCTGGGCACGCGACAGAATACAGGAGGGGCTTTACTTGTGGTGCTGTTACTGTCTCTTTGCAACTCTGCTCCGAAGCCTGTTTTTGTCACGGATGCAGCGCAAGAGGGGTGGGAGGTCATGGTCCCCCTCTGCTCTGCCCTGGTGAGGCTCCATCTGGAGAAGTGGGTCCCGTTCTGGGCTCACCGGTTCAAGAAAAACAAGGAACTACTAGAGGGCTGTGAAGATGATGAGGGACTGGAGCATCTTTCTGATGAGGAAATGCTGAGAGACCTGGGGCTGCTCAGCCTGGAGAGGAGAAGACTGAGGGGGATCTCATCAATGCTGAACAACATCTACAGGACAGGTTGTCAAGAGGATGGGGTCAGGCTCTTCTCAGTGGTGCCCGGTGACAGGACGAGAGGAAATGGGCACAAACTGGAACAGGTGAAATTCCATCTGAACACACGGAGGAACTTCTTTGCTGTGAGGGTGGCAGAGCCCTGGAAGAGGCTACCCAGGGAGGTGGTGGAGTCTCCTTCTCTGGAGACATTCAAACCCCCCTGGACACGTTCCTGTGGGACCTGCTCTGGGTGGACCTGCTGTGGCAGGGGGTTGGACTGGATGATCTCCAGAAGTCCCTTCCAACCAACTCCATCTGGAGTGAGCTTTCACTGCCTTGTTTCAATGTGAAGAACAGCACCAGAGTTGAGCACCGTCTGCCCTTCGCTTCCCTGCCCGGCGCAGGCCTGTTCCCCATGGCCGGCCTCATGCTCCCATGGAGGAGGGAAACCACCACAGCCAGGCGCCGTGGCAAGGCCTCAGGGAGCCGCTCACCTCGCCCAGGAATGGCGTGGGGCCGAAGGAGCTCTGTGAGGCGCCTGCAGGTAAGGCCCAGCTCCCTCCGGCATCCCCCCGGGGTGGCGTCATGAGCCCTGCCTGGTGCCGGGGGCTGAGGGGGCCAATTCTTCTTTCCCTCCTTAGTTATAACTTTATGAATCTATTCTGCCTCTTTCCCCACCCGGGGAAACACAGATGTAACTTAAGCAGCTCCTTAAAAGCAGCCTCCTTGTGAGAACTGCCACCTTCTGACAGAAAATTCTTCCACTGCAACGGCGCCATGAGCCCTGCCCGGTGCCTGGGCCTGGAGGGGGCTGAGGGGGGCAATTATCATAGAATCATAGAATTGCCCAGGCTGGAAGGCACCTACAACGGTCATCTAGTCCGACCCCCCCGCAGTCAGCAGGGACACCCCCAACTAGACCAGGTTGCCCAGAGCCTCGTCGAGCCTCTCCTTGAATATCTCCAGGGATGGGGCCTCAACCACCTCCCTGGGCAACCTGTTCCAGTGCTCCACCACCCTCACAGTAAAGAACCACCCGGGGGGGGAAGACAGGCTCGGCCCGGTGCCTGGGCACCTCGGCCGCCGAGCCGAGCGGAACGGAACCCCCGGGGCGCCCCGGCGGCGCTGAGGCGGCGGCATGACGGAGAGGCGACAGCGGGCCCGGGTGCAGGGCGGCTGGGCTGGCGCCCCGGCGGGACGGCTGGCGGGCAGGGCCCCGCTCCCAGGTAAGGCCTAGGGGAGCGGCGGCGGCTCCCGAGCCCTGGCGGGCGGGTGGCCGGGGTTTGCCGGGTCCCTTCTGTCTGGGCCGCGGCGTGGTGGAGAGACCGGGGCTGGTGAGGCCTGGGCCCGGAGGGAGCGGTGGGGCTGCCCTGGCCTGGTCAGGCCCCTGAGGGGAGAGGGGGGCTGCTCTTGGCCTCGTCAGGCCCCTGAGGGGAGAGGGGGGGCTGTCCTGGCCTCGTCAGGCCCCTGAGGGGAGAGGGGTTCTTCTTTCCCTCCTTAGTTATGACTTTATGAATCTATTCTGCCGCTTTCCCCACCCGGGGAAACACAGATGTAACTTAAGCAGCTCCTTAAAAGCAGCCTCCTTGTGAGAACTGCCACCTTCTGACAGAAAATTCTTCCACTGCAACCTTGTGTGGGGCCCGGTGGAGCCTCCGCCCCCTCAGGGCCGCGGCCGGGCGGGCCCGCCTACACCCGGGGAGGGAAGACAGGCTCGGCCCGGTGCCTGGGCACCTCGGCCGCCGAGCCGAGCGGAACGGAACCCCCGGGGCGCCCCGGCGGCGCTGAGGCGGCGGCATGACGGAGAGGCGACAGCGGGCCCGGGTGCAGGGCGGCTGGGCTGGCGCCCCGGCGGGACGGCTGGCGGGCAGGGCCCCGCTCCCAGGTAAGGCCTAGGGGAGCGGCGGCGGCTCCCGAGCCCTGGCGGGCGGGTGGCCGGGGTTTGCCGGGTCCCTTCTGTCTGGGCCGCGGCGTGGTGGAGAGACCGGGGCTGGTGAGGCCTGGGCCCGGAGGGAGCGGTGGGGCTGCCCTGGCCTGGTCAGGCCCCTGAGGGGAGAGGGGGGCTGCTCTTGGCCTCGTCAGGCCCCTGAGGGGAGAGGGGGGGCTGTCCTGGCCTCGTCAGGCCCCTGAGGGGAGAGGGGGGGTGCCCTTGGCCTGGTCAGGCCCCTGAGGGGAACCGGGGGGCTGTCCTGGCCTCGTCAGCCCCCTGAGGGGAGCCGGGGGGCTGCCCTGGCCTTGAGGGTGGGGAAAACTGCTGCCCTAACTGGGCCTAATGTGGGCCGAGGCGAAAAATAACCGGCCGAGCTTTAGAAGCCGGTAGAGTGCTCCCCATCTGGAGCACCGGGTCCAGGTCTGGGCTCCCCAGTTCCAAAAGAACAGGGAACTGCTGGAGAGGGTACAGCAGAGATGATGAGGGGCCTGGAGCATCTCCCTTACGAGGAGAGGCTGAGGGACTTGAGTCCTTTTAGTCTGGAGAAGACTGAGGGGGATCTGATCAACACCTATAAATACCTCAAGGGTGGGTGTCAGGAGGATGGGGCCAATTTTCTTTCAGTGGTGCCCAGGGACAGGACAAGAGGAAATGGGCACAAACTTGAATGTAAGAAGTTCCACCTCAACATGAGGAGGAACTTCTTTGCTGTGAGGGTGGCAGAGCCCTGGCAGAGGCTGCCCAGGGAGGTGGTGGAGTCTCCTTCTCTGGAGACATTCCAACCCCACCTGGACACGTTCCTGTGGGACCTGCTCTGGGTGGCCCTGCTCTGGCAGGGGGTTGGACTGGATGATCTCCAGAGGTCCCTTCCAACCCCATAGCATTCTGTGAGGGGTGCAGTTGGAAGTTAGCATGAGTTTCTTTTCTGAGCAGCTTGTGTGTACCTGCAGCAAATGTGGAACCATGAGGATGTGTCTCCTTGGTTGCATTTTGTGTGACACACAGCCTTGAGCGGTGTTCCGGCTTTTCCACGTAACTAACGTTCAGGTGTTCAGAACCAGTTTTTCAGTAAGATTTTTACATATGCCACAGGGATCTTGTAGCAATTTTGGACATTGAACACAGCTGCATATGTGCATAGATGTGTTTGTAATGTCCACACCTAAGTAAGCGTTCTACTCATCTTTGGGCAAGTTGAATGAGACAGCTTTTGGTGACTTTTAGTCACTTTTTATTCATAAAACTTATCCCATGTCTTCCTTTCTCTTTTCACAGTGAAAATATTGCAGAATAAAGGCTGCTAGTTGAAAGGGCTGGAGTTAATGTCACTGTTTTGTGTCAAAGATTTAAACCAGAGAGTGCAGTGGCAGGAGATGTCAGTGTGGGTTTCCAGTCCTGCAAGAAGGACTGGTTTATTTCGTGAATGTGGTCAAACCCACCATTTTTTAAACTCTCTTTCAGGCCCATTTTAAAGCCTTTTTAATCCATAAATAAAACACTTGAAGTGATATGCCGGAGTTGCTCTTCCATACTTTCTCATTAGTTTCAAAATCTTCTTATAATAGAAGGATGTTTCTCAGAGAAATGTCTTTTTTTTCCTTAAAAAAATTGTAGAAGGAAGCAGTTTAGCTGCTTGGGCAAATTTCTGCTGGCATGTGATAGGCGTTTGTGGTAGAATGGAAAGGTTCTAGATGTTATCTTTTTTGATAAATGATGTCTTCATTTTTGTTTGTCTACGAATAACTAATATATTTTTTTAAATTCCAGTTTCTGTGCAGTTTTACCTCTGATGTAATGTAGGTTTGCCTGTTCCCCAGATTCTCTGCCAAGCAGAGGAGAATACTTCAAAGAAAGATTCCATAAGTTCTTCCAAACTGTAATTTTTATATGGTGAAATTCTATTTAGTGTGATTATTTTTTAATTATTTTTTTCTTCTTTGCTTTAGCACCTAAGGCACCTGTGGCCACCAGCCTTGCCCCTGCATGTGCCAGACCAGCTTGGATGAAGAAAGATCAGCCTCACACTCAAAAGCAATTTGTCTTTGAAAAGCCATCAGAGGTAAAAATTACACGGTAACGAGCAGAATGTCATCTTTTATTAAACCTCAAATGACAAAAGTTATCGGACTTTGAGATTATAGTCTCATGTTTAAAAACAAATTAAAAACTGAGCTGAACTTTGGGCTTTTACCAAGCAGTGTGCAACTGTCTTGCATCAGAAAATGATGGTCCCTCTGTTTAGCCTCACATTTTTCGTTACATACCTGTTCATAAATAGTTTTTTTTTTCAGAAAGCCAAAAGAATATTTTGTCCTAACTATTCAGAATAATGTAGTGTCCCAAGCATGATTTGAGCTCTGTTGTTTCCCCTCAGTTGTCTCATTTGTTACAGGAGAAGAGCATGGGATTTGTTTTATAGACTTTATGTACTGTCAGCAGATGAAGAACATTGTGCTCTGTGCAGTGGGAGGGCAGTTCCTTGCTTGGGGAAAAAAACCCAACCAGCTATTGAAGGCTTCTTTCTGAGCCAGAAGCCTTTGAAAGGCTATCTTCTTGGCATGGAAAGACTGGAGATGGCCTGGGAAGGTTCTCCTTTCTCTGTGGCAGAGCCCTGGTATCTATATATTACTATATTTTGACCCTCTTGCTTGCTCAGCTCAGTACCTCCTTGTATGTCAGTGTTGCCCTGAGCTCAGAGAAGAGAAGCATAAATGTCTGAGACAACCAGAATGATAATCTAGGCTGGATTAAACTATTCTGTCTGTGGTTTGTTTTAACAAAAACCAGCTATCTCAAGCTGTGCAGACAATTTTTAAAGTGTCCACTCTTGCTACGTCTGCTCTGTGTTGTGTTTTGCTTGTTATCTGGGGCCTGGGATTTGTTCAGCCCTCCTACAATTGCTGTAGATTTTTACTTCCAAGTATAAGGATGAGATTTTTTTTTTTTTTGTTGCAGCTGATAAATAGCAAGTATTGTAATAATCCAAATAATTTAGAAATGAATGTCCATTAGGGGGCAGTTGATTGTTTAAAAACTGCCTGCAGTGTTAGCTGCCTTTGAGGGTTTCTGGGACGTGGAGAGAGTGGGTGGGTTGTTACTGCTTACTAGTTGTCCAGAAGTATGTTTTTCTCGCTGTCATAACAGTCTACAGCTATGTAGAGTTGTCACTAGAGATGGTAATTAGTTCTGTTTGACTAGAGCATGACATTAAATGTTTAATATTCACCATGTTACCTTATTACCTTTCAGGTAGAGCGCAAAGTTCCCGAGGCAGGTGTGATAGAGTGAGTATACTCCTGATTTAACTGTCCTTCCTGAGGTTTTCCAGTCTTGTTGGTCAGAGGGAATTTGCTGAAAGAGAGTTCCTTCTCCACTTTGGAAGAAAATTCAGTACAAAATGTGGACTTTCAGCCCTTTTATCGTGAACTGAATTTATAACCAGGAGAGTCCAAATCTCTGTTGACCGGTTTCTGTAGCTTTGGTGAGGCTGTATAAGCCAGGAAGAACAAATAATGGGATGTTCTGGATCAACAAAACTGAAAATATGCCTCCTTTGGTTAGCGATGTACGTTTTCCTACAACAATCCCTGTGTAAATTATGCTGGAAATTGCTTACTGTTATTCAAGAATATAGCTGGTGTGGCAACTCGGGCAGCGTTCCCTGTGAAGGTTTGGAAGAGGAGCTGGTACCAAGCGTCAGAGTGGAGCTCCATGCTCCTGTGCTGGAGATCCACTCACCCTTTGGGTTGAAACGGGGATCTTTTCAGAATGACCTTGGCATGAAATGTGGCGAGGTGTGGTGGCCTACGGTGAAGTTGCAGATTTTTGAAAATTAAATTTGCTTCAGGCTGGTAGATGGTTTTATGTTGGTGCTCGGTGGGTGTTTGTCCGGAGTGGGCATAATTCAGCTGAGATGTTCAGCTGCTGGAGTGGTGGTGAGCGGTTCGTTGAGTAGAACTGCTTTGTGAGAAGTGTTTCTGTCAAGGGTCATGAAAAATACTGCTGGAAATGGTTGCAGAATTTCCCAGAAGCATTTACAGGTTCTAACAGTTTTGTTTATGTTTTAACTGTCCGTTTCAGCGTGAATGATCCAGCCATATGTTCTTTGCATATTGTTTACGATTGGTAGTAATAACATAGTATCTAGGTGTTAAGTAAATTCAGTGCCTTAAAAGCCTTCTAAAGGCTCACTGGCCTTTTGTTTGTTACATTTATTTACAAATCAAAAAAAATACAGAGGAAACAAACCGGAAATGCCATTCTCACCCCAACAGTGTGCTGTAGGTAACACAGTACAGTTTATGCTCTGCATATGCACTAGGGAAGAGCTCAGAAGTTCCTGTGTATTTAACTTTCTTAAATACAGGCTGGTGCAACTAAGGGTGTGTGATCACCTCGTGAGCTGGTGAAGGGTTTTGAGGGAGAAGCAATGCTGGAGAGAGATGAACTCCTGGAGTGCTCTAGGCTGTATAAAGTTTGGATCTAGCTTAGGAGAAAATGAGATGGTAGGTGAAGCCAGCAGTTCATACAAGAGTAAATAATACTTTCTGACAATGCAGCTCATGACAGGGAAGAACCATTTTCCCTCTGTACCAGCTGCAATAGTTAAAATACTGCTCAGTTGCCTCTAACTCAGTTTCTCTGTGTCACTCACAGATGAACACTTGGCTGTTAGTAGAATTGTGGTATCGGTCATCTCACTGAGGACTGGGTTTTGCATCTTCACACTCTTTGTATACCTGTAAACGCAAACATAGTGGTCAGGGAGCAGCCTAGTAGGGCTGGCTCCTTTAGATTCACTGAATTTCACTGAATTTTTAGAGTTGGAAGGGACCATAGAGATCATCTAGTCCAACTCCCCTGCTGAAGCAGGATTGCCTAGAGCTTGTCAGAGCATGTTACTCAGGAGCATCCAGGCGGGGCTTGAAGATCTCCAGAGAAGGGGACTCCACACCCTCCCTGGGCAGCCTCTTCCAGGGCT